AACACTTGTTGAAATTTGTGGACAATTTACAAGTCGAAGTTAAACCGAAATCATTGTTTAACACTTGTTGAAATTTGTGGACAATTTACAAGTTGAAGTTAAATTGAAATCATTGCTTAAACACTTGTTGAAATTTGTGGACAATTTACAAGTCGAAATTAAACCGAAATCATTGTTTAACACTTGTTGAAATTTGTGAAAAGTTTACAAGTTGAAGTTAAACCGAGATCATGTTTAACAATTGTTGAAACTTAAAAAGTTTACAAGTTGAAGTTAAGCCAAAATCATTTGATTTGAGGTTGTGCATCTCGAGAGTAGATTCCGTGTTGGTCGAGCAGTGGCCATTTGCAAAAACAGTTTTTGAGAATTTTTACTAAGGTTGACTAATTTTCTCCAAAATTGTTCCATTTTTTTTCCAAACTGGACCATTTCTTAGACCCAAAAAAGGAAAATTTTTAGTGCTCATAGCCTGACTTGCATGATTTCAAATCAGAAAATCAAACAAGCATGTTAATCTAACTCTTATGTTGGTCAAAATTGTTTTAGTAGAAAACCAAAACAAAAAAAAAAATGGTCAAAATGATGAACTAGGGGCACAGTTGAGTCAGGCTTCCTGTCTTTTCCCTATTGTCAACGTACTTGCCAGAAAGGGCACCATGTTCGCCAGAAAGGGCATAGCTAAAGCTGTCAGCAAATGGCCAAAAGCACTCTCATCCTCCAAGCAGTGAGGTATTAAGCCAAGTACAAAGCACGAATTGGAAGGGAGCAGGATATTCCACTCCCTCATTTGGACAAGTTTGATCACATCCAAACTACCCAAGGGTATCGTCAACCAATGTCAGTTGCAAATCTGCCGCACATCCAGTCGTATCACAACCCCTCTGGGGGAGAAACTCACAAGTTGTGAGTAAATAAGGAGAATCTGGTAGAATACTAGAGGCAAAAGCCTGTAACTTCTTGTTTATCCAACAACTACCTAGGGGAGGGATAAAAAAAGAAGAGAGATTAAAGAACAGAGAGATATGCGTTGAGAGAAAAAGTGATAAAAAAGGGCTTTTTCAGAAAACAAGAGATTGAGTGCCAGAGTGATATGAGAATCACAAATCAGAAAGGGTGGGAAACAATACCCAAAGAAACGGGCTCCCCGTCAACCGAGAGGTCTCTCACCATTGGAACACTTTTGAGTGTTGTGTGTGTTTTGGTTTGTCTCGATTTTTGTTTTGAGTCGTTTCGAGTGTAACAGATGTGTTTAGGTTGTTTTACCTTATCTTTCCCTTTGTCGGGTTGTTTTGGCTGTGCTCAATTGTAGGCTCAATACTCGGTTAAAAACTTATTCGTAATTTCAATTTCAAAAATAAAATCGTTTTGTGCCCAGAGTGCTGTGCCGTTCTCCACATATGTACAAAACATGATTTGTTCTCCATTTTCTGAAAAAACACTTTAAACCCATAATATAACATGTTTTGAAGATCAATTTGTAAAATCAAACCCCAAGGATGAGTCAATTAAAACACAATTTCATCAAAACTTCAAGAACATGATGAACATGCAACATGCATGAATTTAATCAACTTCAAAGCTCCTAATGCATGATCAAATGAGTTAATTCACTCCCAAACATGATGAATTCATGGATTATAACCCAAATATGGACATGCATGCAATAATTTCCATGAAAACAACTCTAAACTTCAAGATATACATATGCATGCATGATATAAGCTTCAATTCAACAATCTTCAATCAATTTATGACCTTAGGCTCCTATCTATCATGAATCATGCAAGACACAACTTCAATTCACAAATGAGAGGATGAAATTTCTACCTTATGTCTTGAATTTAAGGTATACAAGCTCAAATAATGCAAGACTCCTTCAATCTCCTAAGCCTCCAAGCCAATTTGGTTGAAAACAAGTTTTTTCCTCTCTCTCACTCTCTCTTTAGTCGGTTAAGCTCAAGGAAATGGGCTGATGAAGTGTTGTAATGCTAGCATTTAGAGATCAAATAAAAGGCTCATGAAAGTCCACTAAGTGGCATTCTCGTAAATAAGTCCAACTCTGTTAAATTAGCATTATTTAATCTAATTAAAACATACCAAATCACATTTCAACTAAATACGTCATAAAATCACATAAATTACGATGATCATAAAACACTAATCGATTTCCGGTTCGGCCGCCGATAAGGCCTTTAATTAATAGTTTAAACATAAAAACACAAACAGATAATCAAACAATCAAACAGATAGACATACAATTGAACAGATATACTCAGTCAATTCAGTTTCAATTTCAGTCAGTCAGTTCAGTAGTTTATTCAGTTCACTTATCAGTCATAGTCAGTTCAGTTTAACGGTAATCAGTGGTTATTCGGTAAACAGTGACGAGGGTTGTTACAGAAGTCCTTTGGTGGCTGAGGGAGAACTACAAAAAAAGAAAAAAGCGTAGACATTAGAGCAGAATGTTGAAAATTTTATGCAAGAAATCAAGAAAATTTGTGAATGGTGGCCTTTACTAGCTCCTTCCTCGAAAACTGTTCGATTTAGGGGATAAAGATGGAGGTCATCGTTTGGCTGAAACTCCCAGTTACCCGAAACGATGAAGTAATCATTCCCCCCTCCCTTGTTGGAGTCAGGGAGGTCGGTAACAATTTTGTATTCCATGGACCTCGGCTTGAGGTAATAGATGTGGCCTTTTTCTAATTTCAGGCGACACATGGTATAACAGTACTGGAAATCGGCAAGAGTAATCCTAGCATTCTCTTGTTTGGCTAAGGCTATGGTACCATTAATAACTCAGTACGAATTGATTGCAAGCTGCATTGGGTTCAACCTATAGAAATTGAGGATTTCACGGAAAAAAGGGTCAAGTGGAAACCTATGTCCACACTCAATAAACGCTATTACTGGGAAAGGCATGAGGTTTACATCGACATGATAGAGTCGTCATCCCCAGCCAACCTCAGATGGACGTCGACAGGGATGGAAAACTCTCGCCTAAAGTATTCTAATTTTGTCGGGGTGTCTACCCTATGCTTCCACATACCCATGATATTGGCTTAACTGAAGGGGTTGGATTTCAGAAAGGTGTTTTAAAAGGGTTATTAGGACCTCGGCAAAAACCAAAATTATGTGCTGGGTAAGAATTTGTGGAAATAGTTTCATTTTTTCCTAAAAATCAAGGGTTCTACAAACAAATCCCAAACCTAGATCTATGGAAACGAAAATTGAAGGCACAAATCTGGAAAACATAAAAGCAAGAATGCGCTTCAGAATCAAGAACAGAGATGGACTATTAAGAACATTGTAAATACGAAGGGTATAAGGCTAAGAACAATGGCAGAAATCAACAGGAGTACGAACAGTGTATATTCAAGAAGTTGATTTGGGTAAAAACAGAATCATAAAACAAACATGTTCAAATATATGGTGGAATACAAGATGCAAGACGAAATATCATAAATATGAACAAGATTGCAAAGACAACAGGTAAAACAGTAAAGTTCAGTAAGGTAACAAGAAATTGAAACCAGGCGAAATAGTGGCTTACCAGAAAGAGGGAAGCCGGGATGGGGATTGTCGAAGTCTGACGACGGTTGCGAAGGCGAAAGATCGGTGAAAATCGTGCCAGAAGAGGTGAACAGCAGTGATGGCAGAGCTTTAGAAGCTTGAAACAATAGAGGGTTTGGAAGAAAAGCTAGAGAGAGAAAGCTTCAGAAACGATGGAGAAAAGTGAGAAAATAAGGAAAGGGGGAAATTTTTTTTTGTTAAAACTTTAAACAGCGGCAAAACGGAATTAATGCGCCTAAAACAACGTGAGCATCAGACGGCGCACGCATGCGCGAGGCGATTTAGAAGCGCGTACCAAGTACGATCTAGTAAAAGAGGGACACGTGGCTGAAACGGTTGAATTGTGATGCATGACAGCTCATACGCGTGAAGAAGCTCATGGAATTCTTGATCTTTAGGAAGACATGTTGGCCTATAGCGATGAGCTCGGCTTAAGCCGATGTACTGGCAGGAAGTATCGAAATAGGTTCCATCACCTCAGAATGCTGAGGTAATAGAACCTAAGGGGCAGTTGTAGGGATATATTTTCTGAGTACCAACACGTGGCTAAGGTGACCCGACGTGTCAATCGAGGTGCCACATGTCCTGGTCATGACGCCGAGGTTATCTCGGCGAGGCCGAGGTTATCTCCGAAGATATCGGAATCCAAGATAAGCAGATAAGGGACAAGAGTCCTAGAATGAGAGAAGACTTCAGTTAGGAAAAGATAAGACTCTTAGAGAGTTTATCCCAATCCTACTGGGAGTCCAAGATTAGCAGTAATCCTAAGTTCATTAGAGCTAGGCTCCTATTGGGACTAGAATTGTGTTGGCTATAAAAGAAAGACACCCCCATGGGTCCAAGGTACGCAATTTATATTTTGAATAGTGAGTTTAACAATATTGATTATCTTTGAGAGATATACTGACTTGATCGTCGGAGTGCCCCCGGGTAGACGAACCACCGCCGGAATCTTCTCTTTCTAGCCAGGTGTCATCTATTCTGCCAGTGTTCTCCAGCTGAATACTGAGTTAGGCAGTGTGATCAGAAAATCACTCACACAGTAGCAATGATGGAGATGAAAGAGTTGCAGAGTGGGCTGTCGCCGGCAACTGATGACTAGTGATGAGTGGTGGTGCCCAACAGTAGGAGGTGGTAGCCGGGTTTATTTTTGAAATATTAAAGTTTCAAAACCTTAATGTTAATTTTGTTAAAATTGTAATAATTATCTTCATAAAATGTTGGGTATAATGACAAAAAATGTCCATTTTCCCTTCAATAGAAATAGTCATGTGGTTGAGATTGTGATCAAATAAAAACTTCAGGGATCAAATTGAACAAATTAAAACCTCAAGGTTTGATTTGTCATTAGGATCAAACTATGGGGGTTTTTTTTTTTTGTTGGTAATTTTCCTATAAAATTGTAGAAAATAGTCACAATGACAAAATAACTAACCTTCAGGTTCATTCCGCATCCAGTCTTGTGCACACATTAGGGCTTGCACAGTATCTGATCTCAGTGAACTCCGGTAATGATCAAGCATTCGATCTCCAGTGTTGAATGCAAACTCCGATGAAACTTTTGACATGGGAATTCCCGAAATGTTGCGGGCCATCATAGATAGAATGGGATACCTTGGTGTGTGAACTTTCCACCAATTTAAAATGCTGAAATCCACAGTGTGAGGAAAAAGTGGTTCCTCCAAGTATTTGTCCAAATCTGATTTTGTGTTTTGGCTCTGTGAAGTTTCATGGAGGAACCTGTCAAAGCCCGTCAGTCTATCCCTAGATTCATTACCACCCCCACCATCACCGCCTACTTGACAAGACAAGCCTTGACCATGAGAATCTAATGGGGAGCAAATGGCATGCCCATTGTAAAGTGTTTTCATACAATTAGAAACAATATCAATACAATCAGAAGCACTCATGCCATAAATTTGAGGATAATAATACTCTACCAACTTCATCTTGAACCGAGGATCTAATATTGCTGCAACTGCCAAAGCCAAGCTGCACTTCTTCCAATATTCATCAAATTTACTTTTCATCTTCAAGGCTAGAGAACTAAGGTAAGTATCCGAGTTCTAGGACCATTCAATCAACTGCAAATGCATATCACAAATCTCGTGAAAAAATATATTTGTTGTTGGATACTTGGTCCCTGTGAAAACATTAGAAACCTCAACAAAGAGCTTCAAATAGCCGGTAATGGCACTTGCTCTGCTCCACTCTATATCAGATGGACACAATGTGTAAATGGGATCATGTTCTTGCAGAAGAGAAAACACATCTTTATACACTAAAGCAGCTTCAACCAAGAAATATGTTGAGTTCCATCGTGTTGAATTATCAACACACAAGCACTTCTGACTATCAATGCTCACAAGATGAACCATCCCGTTGAACTTTTCCTGTGTTGATTGTGAACTTCTAACATACTTAATGCTTTCCCGAATCTTATGGGTTACCTCCAACAGTGCTTCCAAGGCATATTGAACCATCAATTTAATAATATTTGCTACATAGCGTACATCAAATAATTGACCATTACACAAAAGAAACCTGTTCTAGGAGAGTCGGTCTCTAATTCTACAGACGATATTGTCGTTGGTAGAACTACTGTCAAATGTCATTTAAAATAATTTTTGATCAATATCCCAATCCATTAGACTTGTCATGATAACTTCTGAAAGCATGTCTTCTGTATGAGAAGGGTCAACCATTATAAAATTCAGAACTTTCTTCTTTAATTGCCAATCATCATCAATAAAGTGTGCTGTCAAAGATAAGTAATCAACATCTTCCATAGTAGCCCATATATCAGCAGTAATTAGGGGTGCAACTCGGGCGGGTTCGAGCGGGTTGGAGATTTGCCTTGGCCCAGCCCGAATTGTGATTGGTAGTGCCCAAGCTCGCCCAAGCCCAACCATCAACCCAAGCGTGGCTACCCAAGCCCGGATCAAGCTTCATAATTTGAACTCGGGTTAGCTCAAATTGCCTAAATTTCACAAGGCAACAAACAATGCTTACCACAAAAATCCCAAAGTTAAAAAGCACAAGTAACTTTATTGAAAGGAAAATGACCTCAAACAAACCCACTAACAAAAAATAATAATATGCCTCTTTCTTTTTGCATTTTTTCAAGAAAATCTGAGATCAATGCATTACAAACAAATAAATAAATATGGCCACCAAATAAATCAGAAGCTGCTAATCATCTTCTTTATCTAATCATATGCATAACATAACCAAAGAAACACAAAAATAAAAATTTACTGAATAATATATATATATATATATATATATACTTGGAATAACACAAGCAGAGCTGCAGAGCACAGGCATAAGCCATGACTGGTATTTCTAGTTGGTTCTCAGCATAAACATACACTCCCTCTCTCTCTCTCTCTCTCTCTCTACATAATCAAACCCATTTTGCTCTCTCTAAAACCTATCTCTGCCTCTGAATGCATGGCTACCTCAGTTCTCATGGCTTCCGAGAAGAACTTGGCTGAGTTGGAAGACTTCTCTAGATCCGAGAACACGAAATAGAGTGGAAGAAGAAAGTCGAAATCCAACGAGTTAATCCCAAAGAAGAAGAAACAAACAACCACAAAGAGGAATGGATGTGGCTCAGCTCAAGTGTCTCAGATTGCAAGACCAAGATCGCTGGAAGCAGATAACCCAAACAAATATATACACAAAATTTCACTAACATAAACATATTTTGCAAATTTATTAAGAAAAAATTTTAAACTCATAGATCCACCAGTTTTGAGTGGTAATCGAACGACGAGTGACCAAAAATAGACAAATTGAAGCACAAATACAAACACAGAGAGGGATCTACCAGTTTTGTGTGACGTCATTGTTGGTGGTTGCTGCACTTTGTGTTCGTGGACCTTGTATCTCCACCGTTCTTCAACTCTAATGAAGAAATAACTCTGATGAAGAAATGAAATGAGAGTCTAAGACAGAAAGGGACGAAAAGAATAGATAAGGTAGGGTTTTGTTTTTAGTTTTAATCTAATGGTCCAAATAAAAGATTCTAATCCAAGGGCCAAAGACCAACCAAAAAAAACAAAAAAAAAAATTAAGGGCCACCTATTTAATTTATACATATATTATATAATTTATATAATATATTAAATGCAATTCGGGTTCGGGTTGCGCGAGTTATCCATAGATTCTACCCAGGCTCAGCCCGAATTACAATTCGGACATCAAAAATCTGCCCAGGCCCATCCAGATTATAAGATATTGTTGCCCAAGCCCTAAAAAAACTCAGGCTGGGCACGAGTTGCTCGGGTTGAGCCTGCCTGAGTTGCACCCCTAGCAGTAATGAAGATTTTACTAGGTAACTTATGTAGCACCTCATACACCTTCTGTTTCTTTTTATGAGAAATTTCAATACAGTTGGCCTCGACCTTATTAAATGTCACTAACTCAAATAAAGGCTGAAGATTTCTAACAAATAGTTGGAATCCAACATGCTCAACCATAGACAAAGGATAACCATGCAAAATAATCATCCGAACAAGATCGAATCGACTACGCTTATTATCGAAGCTACTATGTCCAACATTAATGGTGGTCAATGTATATTCAATTGTATCATTGTGAAAGATTTCAAGAATGGAGGATAGAGGGTGGAGGCCGGTTCTGTGCAAGCATGGTGGTAAAGGAGGCAGAAATTCAGCCCCAGATAATGAGATACATACAATCTTTGTGGATAACCTACCAAAATCTATGGATCCAAAAGGGCGGTATAAAGTATTTACCAACTATGGGATTGTAAAGGATGTGTTCATTCCGAATAAAAGAAGAAAGTTGACTAGATCAAGGTTTGCCTTTGTGTGACAACAGAGCTTTGAAAGTAAAAAGAGCAGATTTTGTTCAAGGAAATGAGGAAAATCAGAGACCACTAATCGCATCAGTTGGAAGAAGGGCTATTGTCAAAACTAGCAGAACCCCAAATATGATACAAAGGGGAAAGTCTTATGCCCAAGCATTGAGAGGACAAGGGCTAGCATCAACTGTGAACATAAATATACATGCTTTCGAGGAAGGTAATGGCTGGCTTTATGACAGTGTGATTGTTCGATTAAAACCTCAACACCTTGCGATAGAGTTTAAAGAGGAATTAAAGAATAGAGGAATGGGAGATGTCCAGATTAGAGATGGTGGTGGCAGAGATATTGTGTTAACCTTTAAGTCAGTGGGAATTATGAAAGAGAACCTCAAATTAATGGAGGAGTGAATCCAGATATGGTGCGAACCAGTCAAGGAATGGCAGCAAGGGATGACCCTGGACCAGAAGAGATTTGTTTGGCTTATTTGTAACGCCCCAAATTTCTAGCCCAAATGATAATACAACAATCATGGTTCTTTCAAGGAAAACTGAATATAAATCTTCAAACTTACATTACATGATACAATAGTTCTTCATACAACAATACATTAATTCAACAACAAGTAAATAAACAAATAAATACCCCCCAAAGGGCTTACAAGTTTCCAAGGCTTAAGCCTGGTTACACAAAACGGTTATTCAAACCCACACACATACGGACCTTGGTTTATATGCAGAGTCACAGCAAAATGAGAGTCTCGTACTCTCAACACACATTTCCTCGCCTCTAGTTAGGCGGCATCACCACATCTTTTCCTACACAAAAATCCCGTAGGGTAAGCATAAAGCCCAGTAAGAAATCCTTAACAAAGTATATACATTTTATACAAGTCTCAAGAGATGAAATGCACATGCTATGCTATGCCCTTTTGAAAGAAAATCACATCTTCATCTTTGAAAACCATCATTCTCAATGATGTCATACAATTTTAATTCTTCAAAACTTAACAATTCATTTCAAGAGCGGTAAATACGACTTTGGTAATCCCTAAGTTGGTGTCTGCAAGTAGACTATACAAGTACTACCAATTTGTTATTTTTACCAGCATTGACTGGAAGGCTCGACGCCTATAATCTGTCATTTTTACCAGTATTAACCGGAAGGCTCGACACCTATTCAATTTCATCTACACCACTTGTCAAGACTTACCACCATATTTACCCCAAAACCAATTCATGGAAACTTATTTCTCAACATTATTTTCTCAATGCAAGTTTTCTAATCAACTTTCAAAGTTTAATGTAATCAAATGAGTTGATATGCCAATAACACAAGATGAATATAAATACTTTTATTCCAATTTATTATCCAAGGAATAACACAATTCCATTTTCTCAAGTATCCTCAACAATTAGTCATTTCAAGACTATTTCAACGTTTTGAACAATAATTTCCAAAATGAACAATAATTCTCATATTCCCTGAAATTCATCATTTATATAAATATAAATAAGAAATTTTCCAAACATCCATTTATTTTAACACACAAAATAAATATAACAATATCATTCATGGATTTTCAGTCTCTTTAAAAAAAATCTCTAAATTCTAGGTTTTCTCACCAAAACTATACAACTCAAATCTTTTGAAACAAAACTTTCCAAAATCATCTTTTCTTCAATCAACAAAGATCAAAACCGATAAGATCATTTTAAAATAACAAGAGACAAACCCACGTTCAAAATCGCTCTACTTCTTGAATTAACAATCAATTTTCAAAGCTATCAAAGGATGATTTCAAAAATCATCTAGATCTTGCAAAAATATATATATATATATATAACTCTAAGAAAATTCCTACCTCAAGTTTTGAAGAAGAAATGAGATGAAACCTCTAAAATCAACGGTGTCGAAACTCGATCTTCACCGCACACAACGATGCCCTCGAGAAGTTAACCAACTTTGATGAAGAACTTATGGCAGAACTCTAATTGATCTTGAGAAATCAAGGTTTTGATCCAATTTGGTGTGGGGAAATGTAGAGAGAAAGGAGGGGAAATATTTTTAGAGAGAGAGAGATATACAAAAGTGATCTTAAATATCAGATTCACGAACTGATATAACATGGTCCGCTCGAGCGTGGAAAGCCCTGCTCGAGCGTTGAATACAGCTTCCCAGTACTTTTGCAGACAGGTTAAACTTCTGGAACCAAATATTCTCCGCTCGAACGCATAAGCGGCCGCTCGAGCAAACAAGCAACTTCGAATGCATTTTGCATTTTTGATTCGGGGGCGCTGCCCCTCGACTCCACCAGGGCACTACCCTCGGACCCGCCAAGGGGCGCTGCCCCCTAGACCCCTGCAAGCTGACCGGGCAGCTCGATCCCCGACCTGCCCAATCGAAGTGGCAAAACATGAAAGAAGGGTCGAAATCGGGATCGCTACATACTTGTTATGGAGTACCATTAAATCTCTGGAGCAGCAAAACATTTAGCAGCATCGGAAGGCTGTGGGAGGAAGTCATAAGCATTGATGAGGACACAACCAAAACGAATTCTTTTTACAGTGGAAAAGTGAGGATTGCTACAAAATGTATGGAGTCCATAAACACAACAATCACCTTGAGTTGCAAGGAGATAACCAACCAAGTCATAGTCTGTGAAGACCAAGTGGTGATTTCAGAGATGATATACAAGCAATGAAAATGTTATAGTGAGTAGCATAAATGGGAAAATTCAACTTCCCATGGTGAGGAACAAGAATAGAGATCTGTTGTGGGAAGCAAGAAGGGTGAAGAAAAAGCTGATGAAGAGGGCCAGGTTAGAGGTGTGCTGGACATACGCGATACTGAGGAGGCAGGGGGGCCGGGGGTAAAACATGATGAACGTACAACCATTGATGGACAAGATAGAGGGCTAAGCATGTCTAGGGTTTAGGAGACTATCATGACTATAA